ACATGTGGTAAGAGCAACCCGAATCAAGATTCCACTTCCTGGAGATATCCTCGTCACCCGTGATGACATAGCATTCCTTCTCGCTCCCTTCTTCTAAAACACAGCTCGCTTCTACAGTCACATCGATGTCCTTCAGATCTGATATTATCCTATCGAACTTGTTGATGTATTCCCAGATTGATGAGCTCTCCTTCATCTTGCAAGTATACAATTTAGGTTTTAAATAGATCCGGTTCGTTAGATTCTTCATCATGAAGGTGCTCTCTAACTTTGACCACACGCCCGTAGCCATTTCCTCTCCATCTACCAAGAAAGCTACATCCCTCTCAAGGCATAGGAGAATCGATGCCCGTGCTTCCAGTTCTAGCTCCTCCCAATCCTCATCAGATGTATCCTTGTGCTTCTTCTCCTTTCCAGCTAAAGCCTAGTGCAATTTCTGCGAAATCAACAAATTCTTTATCTGCATCCTCCAATAGAAAAAATCGTTCTTCCCATTAAACTTTTTAATCTCGTACTTTCTAATTTTAACTGTCTTGCTAGTTGACGCCATCCTCCGCTTGATTAATAATCCCTTCTCTCTAACCAATTGCACTGATACTAATTGTTGGGTGCAGAGTCACGCCCTCACACCGCGGAAGCGATATAACCCGAGAGTAAACCCTGACTTTTGTTTTCACAAAAGCTCAAGCTAACCTATATATTCCAGTTTCGCGAAGGAAACAAGAAAAAAAGTAAAATATCTCAACAAAGTGTGATATACACTCTTACTTTCATCAGTTCTAAGACTGAATTGTCGAGGGAACCTACAAGCAATAGCCAACAACGAGAAAATAGTAAAGAAACGAGATGTATGTGGTTCGGCAAACTTGCCTACGTCCACGGGGAAGGGAAGGGGAGATTCCACTATGAGGAGAACACTGACGATTTGTACAATCCACAAGCTCGTATCAAAAGAATAAGACTTGATTTTTACCCAAAAGAAGTTGACCTCTCTTTGTAAAATCTCTCCAAAGCTCTCTCCTCAAGATCTCTCTTTTCTAGCCGCCAAAGAAACCATTGTTTTCTTCTCTTAACAACCGACTAACCCTATTTTTCACCCACAAAACCCTAGAAGAAAAACGTCTCGGTATTTATAGCAAAAACACCAACTGAAAGGGTGTTTCGTTTTTTCGCTGCACAAAGTCGGGTGGGCCTCTCGGGGTGAGCCCGCTGAACTCAGCGCGACAACACTTCTTGTGCTTGTAGTTCACGTGCTTTTGGCCCCACGTTCACAGGCTGCAACTCTCACTAATTTTTATTTAAATAATAATAATAATAAGTACATATTACATGGTGTTCTTCCTTCTTATCCTTAGACTTTTCTAACACAAAGCGACAGGTGCACTGAAAAGTGAGGTGGGAAATTTTTTCCGAATCTCAATTAGATCCTAGCAATGAAATATGACAAAGCGGCGTTTCTTGGCTTTAATTTGCCACTTAAAACAATTAACAAAGTCTTAAGTCGTCTTAAGTGGTTTGAAGACTCTTTTAAAAAAATGACGCACATGTGAACGTATTTAAAGCTAATGAAAGAATTCTCACTGGCCGCTCTGGATGAGGATTAAAAACAACTTATTGGCGTTTTCCTCTGGGTTTACACTAAAAAATCCCTAGAACTTTCAGTATTTTGGACTAAACCCCAATATCTTTCAAAATGGCATTAAATCCCCAATAACTTTTTGGAATTGTATAGAACCCCTAATCTAAGTTTCCGTATTTTGTAGATAACCCCCATAAATTAAAACCAAGAAACAGCATAAAAAGCCATTCAGAAATGCATTGGAGGTACGGTATAATTTACCCAAAAGGTATTGAGGGTCTTCGGAAACGTTACTGGGGACTTCAAATTTAATGCGATTTTGAAAGTTATCGGGGGTTTACTCCAACACCCCGAATGTTCCTGGGGTTTTGTGTAGTTTACCCTCGTCCGCCCTCTATAAATACTAACCTTCACTCGTAAACCATCTTCCATCATCCGAGCAAAACTCGATCTAGCTTAGCGCTCCATTTCAACGAGCAAATTAACAACCATCATGCCGTCTCTCAACCCCAAAGCCGACGCATACAAGCACCTCTACATCTCTCGCAACCCCGACGGTTCTCTCACCAGAAACTACCTGTTCCCCTTCACTCCCCCAGCAACCGACCAATCTTTTCCCGTCCTCCATGCAAGGACGTCACCTCCAACAAGAACCATCAACCCTCCATACCGGATTCTTCTCCCCAAAAACCCGCGCCAAACTCCCCCCCGAGAACTCCCGACATCCTCTACTTCCACGGGGCGGCCCTTGTATCCTCTGCAGCCGGCCATCGCCCCTGTCCACGACTTCACCGGCCTCGCTCTCCGCCGACCTGCCTGCTCGCGTCCGTCATCGTCGAACACCGCTCGGCCGCCCGTAGCACCAGCCTCCCCGCCGGCTACGACGACGCGGCTCGACGCCCTCCTCTGCTGCCTGCGACCGGCCCGACCCGTGGCTGAGCGCCACGGCGATTCTCTAGTCTGTCCTCATGGGCAGCAGCTCCCGGGGAACATCGCCTACCACCTATCTCTGTCCGTGATGGCTCGTCCATTCGACACGGCCCCGTGAAATGCGCGGGGTCGTGATGGACAGCCGTTCTTCGGGTGGGAGAGGAGAGGATCGGGTCGAGGTGAGAATTGCGAGACAGGTTCGTGCCGACCGCTGTGCGGACCTATTGGGAGCTAGCTCTTCGGTCGGAGCGGATAGTGATCACGAAGTAAGTAACCCGAAGCCGTATGAAGACAGGGAGGGATGGGGAGGTGGTTTGTGAGGGGGTATCTGGGGGACCCGCTCATTGACAGGATGAGGGCGATGGCGATGATGATGGAGAGGGGAGGGGTGGAGGTCGTTGCGTTGTTGGAGGAGGAGGGGTTCCACGGTGCTGAGATGTTTGATGACGGGAAGGCTGAGGCGATGGTGGATGACGTTAGAGATTTTGTCTATGATATATATAAGGGCTTGTGAATGCGCCTAGAGCTAGCGTTTCAATAAATATTTGTCATTTTGGTGGCGGTTTGTTGGTAGGATGGTGATAAAACGGATAGAAACAAGGTTTGTTTATGTTACTAGCTAGTACGAGTACGTGCGTAATTTCTAAGTTATTGTAATAGCTAGCAAAGGGGTCGGATGAAAATAATTAGTACACGGTTTTTTTTTTTTTTTTTGCTGTAGCTAAACCAAGTCCAATCTTGCTATATATTTATTATTTGTGAAGTAAGAACTAGCTAGAGAAACTAATATACTGAGATCTAATAACGAGGTGGGGAGAGAAATAAAATAAGAGAGAAGATACAAAAAGAACTAGCTTTGTATAAAAGAGAGATATGGTGTGTGTATTTCTATTTGCGCTAGCTACAGCGCGCTGAGAGTTACCTAAAGAAATTAATTAAATGGTAAAATTATTTTTGATATCCACTGCTTTCTCTATTCAACAAGCGGTATTAGAGCTGGCAGTCAAGGATCGGTTCTTTTCTACTGTGATTCGGTTGAGATTGATTTGAAGAACGAAGTTCGTGGGCAGTTCATGACTATGAAATCAAACTGCGCGAAGATGTTAATCAGAGCAACACATGTCATGATGATGATAAATCTAGCAAATACTACCTCTGTGCTCAACAAGTGTTATGTAATCAGCATATATAGAATAATCCAACTATTGAAATTGAGGATAAGGATAAAACTTATTACGAGTTAGATTTGTGAGTGGTAATAATCACCACGTCAGATTTTAAAGCATATAAAGTTGAGGATAAGGATAAAAGGTGATGAGTCAAATTAAACGTGAAGCATGAAAAGGAACCTATCCGTCTCCATCACCAACTTTATAGTTCTTTTACTTTTCCTCGAGAACAACCGTAGACAATAAGCCACGCGCGCCTGCAAATTAATTTCAAACAAGACAAATTAAATCAGACCAAATTCTCCCGCTATAACTTACATCCACAGATTGAACAGTACTACAGCAAAATCAGCAGGCAGCAGATCGACAGCAGAAGAAGCGATATTTCACGAGTGGGTGACATTTCTGTAGGATAAGGGAATAGGTAAGCTTGAGAATAGGTAACCTAGAGAATAGGTCAAATAAATGACCAAATCAAAACAAATAAAAAAAAAATAACGTTAACAAGATTATTTGCAATAATAGTTTTTTTCCCTTCTCTTCACAGTCTGCAGTCCAATCTTGCTTCGCAACTCTATGAACTTCATACGACCGAGTGGCTTAGTTAAGATGTCACTACCACATATTTACTCTAACGCAACGGTTCAAAACCGTTGTGCTAGCCGTGGAACCGTCGCCCTTGAGCAAGTGCGACGGTTCTCAAACCGCCTCATATGCTACCGTTGCCCTACCTCTATTGTAACAGTTTTGAACTCTATTGCGACAGTTTTTTGAATCGTTGCCCCCGCATCTAACGCAACGGTTTTAACATGCAAGCAGCTACAGTAACGGTTTTAATAGGATATAGCTATGGTTTTGATAGAGCTACGACGACAGTTGGAGCTATTGCAACAGTTTTAAAAGACCTAACGCAACGGTTTTAGTAGGCTATAGCTATGGTTCTGATAGAGCTACAACGACAGTTGGAGCTATTGCAACAGTTTTAATTGACCTAACGCAACGGTTTTAGTAGGCTATAGCTATGGTTTTGATAGAGCTACGACGACAGTTGGAGCTATTGCAACAGTTTTAAAAGACCTAATGCAACAGTTTGGATTGAGCTATCGCAACAATTTTGATCGAGCTATCGTAGCGGTTTTGATAAAGCTATTGCAAGAGCTCCGATTGAGCTGTTCTTGGTTTCCTACGTCAAAATAATATAGTATTCAATTAACTGGACAATCTTTTTAAGAATATGACCAAGTCAAATTTTAATACACAATATAAACGTAAAAATGTTGAGCATAATCAACCATAATGATAAGTGCTAACATACATCAGTATAGTATAAAAACTACAAAGTATTAAATCCACACTACCAATATTTCAACTCAGAAAATATCATACCGAACTAACATTCAAACAATGTACATCAACATTTGATTACAAAATATGAAACTTCTCGGTCAAAGACTATATTCTCTATTTGTTTCCAAAAACTTGTTCCTCAATGTCAAATACTCACTAGGAACCTGTCAGTATCAATCTCAGTCTTGGCTTACAAATCATCACCCATCCGGGAGTTCATTGGTGGTCTCTATCTGCTACTAACAAATCTGATCGTACACCTAAAAACAAGTTATAAACATTGTACATAAGAATCATATGAAGCGAAATGAAAGAACTAAAACTTACAGGAGAAACTAATATTTTTCAATGATAAGAAGTTTCCTTAAAGAAGTTAGGAAGATAATCATATTAGGTGCCCCAAGAGGAATACATATCCTCACCTCTCTCTTCTGATAGAATTCGCACTCGCTTGAACATTCTCAATTCTCTGTGGAATTAAAGTTCATGTCAATTTCATGTGACAATATTTGATATTTTCAACTTATTAAATCACCAAGAAAATGCTCTATCAATTAAGACAAACCAAAGTAAAAATGTGAATGAATAGCATGCCACAGTACCACTACCACATATTTGCTCTAACGCAACGGTTCAAAACCGTTGCGTTAGCCATGGAACCGTCGCCCTTGAGCAAGTGCGACGGTTCTCAAACCGCCTCATATACTGCCGTTGCCCTTGTTAGCCCTTATATTTTGATGATGTTTTTACAACCACCATTATCGGTACTAATAGCTTATTAAGTGAAAATATAGTAAATTCATTTATCAAGCTCATTAGTGCCATTAATGGAGGATGGATGGAATATATGCTACAACGAAGATATCCAAAGGAGGAGGAGGCCAAGAGATGAAGCAACGTTATTTCAAGAACGACAAATTCGATCAAAAGCTTCATCCGATTCAAGCTATATCAAAGCTCAAGTATATTGCTCTCTATATGAGGATATTAGCTTTCTTTTGTTTTTCTCTCTAGTGCTAGAATGTAGGCAAAGAGTTACTGAGTTTACTTGAAGCTATTGGGAATCACACACACGTTTTTAGACTTGTGCTTTTAAGCGTTTTTTTCACAAAATACTATTTTTCACAAGTATTAAAAACATTTTACAAAGTTTCAGAATTTTCAGAGGTCAAATAAATATTTTGTAAATATTTCAAGTTGGTCAAAAATCATATTTCAGAAAATATCAGAAATCGGTCGACCGGCCCGGTCGACCGATCCGATTTTTAAACGGTCATTTACATCGTTTACTGTGCTTTCACTTGTTAGTGTTTGGCACAGTCTGTGATGAGGGTCTGAAGAAGAGATTATTATCTCATTTGGGAAGATTTGTTTTTGTTTTAAAATGATTTAAACTTTTCTATATAAACCCCCCAGACCTCTTCTTCTTCCTAGCCCTAACGTTTGAAAAACCAGAGAGCTTTTTCTGTTTCCTGAGTAAATTTTCAAAACTCTGTTTTTCTCTCTGTTTCAAGTGTGATTCACCTCCCAGCTTCAGTATACCTTCTCTTTGCTATAAGGGCTGTGTAAAGAGAGGTTCTTGCATTTCTTTCTTCTGCTGTGTGAGTGAGATCCGTGGAGATCTACTGTGAGGGAGTGTGATCTGTGAGATCAAACTGTGTACTGAGAGAGATCTGTGGAGATCGCTATGTAGACGAAGTTCCGGCTTCCAAACCGGGTGTGTAGTGGATTTCTCCTTGAGAGTGGGGAGCGGGGACGTAGGCCAGAGGGCCGAACCTCGTTAACACATCGCGCGTCAAGGATAACGAACTCCTAACCTTATCTCTCTTACTTTTATCGCATTTTTGTTTTGTGGTTTGCTTGTGCTGATTTTTAATTGCATATTAGAGCCTCTTGACCCTAATCACCCCCCCTCTAGGGTCCAACAATTGGTATCAGAGCTTGGTCTCTATATCAGTTTTTGGTTTAACAACCTTAGAGAAAAGATCTAATGGAGGCCTCTTTGAATATGCATATGTTAGAAGGACAATCCACCACTAGACCACCTCTCTTCACAGGGGCAAATTTTGCTTATTGGAAGGCTAGGATGAGAATTTACCTTCGTTGCATTGATCTTGACATCCTAGGGCTTATAGAAAAGAAATATGTAGAGAAGTCCAAAGTTGAGAACATGTCCGATGATGAAAGGCACCTTGCCAATCTAAATGCTAAGGCCATGAACGCCTTAATCTGTGGTCTTTCCCCCAATGAATACAATAGGGTTTCCACGTGTGCAACCGCATACGAAATTTGGCAAAAATTATGTGTCACACATGAAGGAACACCCCAAGTTAAAGAATCTAAGATTAGTGGACTCATTCATTATTATGAGCTATTTAAAATGCTTTCTAATGAATCCATTGATGCTATGTTTTCCCGCTTTACTAATATCATCAATGAATTACATGGTCTAGATAAGCAACTATCCATTCAAGAGATGAACTACAAGATACTTCGCTCCTTAACTCCGGCGTGGGAGCCCAAAGCCACGGCCATTGAGGAAGCTCATGACCTCACTACCTTAGCTCTTGATAGCCTTATCGGAAAGCTCAAAGTGCATGGAAGAAGCTCAAGGGAAAGGAGAAGGAGGAAGTGCCATCACGTAACGTTGAGGAGCCGTCACCAAAATTAAAGACCATAGCTCTCAAAGGAGCTAGTGACAACTCATCTTCATCGTCAGAGAGTGAAGTCGGTTTTTCTAGAGAAGTGGCTCATCTCTCTAGAAGAATCTCTAGACTCATAAAGATGAACAAAAAATTTAACCCCCGATCTAACAACAAGTTTTCCTCTCGTGTAGGTAAATGTTTTGAATGCAACGAACCGGGTCACATCGCTAAGGATTGCCCCAAGCTCAAAGAAAAGTACATGAAGTACAAGAAGAAGAAGGCTATGTATGCCGGATGGGAAGAATCCGAACCAAGTGACTCGGATAGTGATGAAGAAGGAGCCAAATTTGCTCTTCATGACCCAAATGTTTGTTTCATGGCAAATGAACATGAGGTAATATCCGAGGCCGAAAGTGAATTTTTTTATATGCAATGTGACATAGCTATGTCTTTAGAAGAGTTGAACTTTGAATTTAAAAGAATGTCTAAAGAATACTCTTCTTTTAAAAAATTGCATGCCTCTTGTGATATTAAGCTAGAACAACTAACAACCTCTCTTGCTCTAAAAGATGAATTGCTAGGAGATCTCGATTTTGAGAACAAGCAATTAAGATCAAAGATTGAAAGATTAGAAATTGAGGGTTGTAGAACTAGACCCACTCATGCTTATGCCAACTACAATCATCATGGTAGAAATAGGTTTCATGGTTCCAACATTCGTACATACAAAAGAAATTTTGTATGCACCTATTGTATGAGACATGGACACATTTCTACTCATTGTAGAATTAAAGACAATGAAGATTTTTATGGTTTGATATGGGTACCCAAAGGTACCAAAACTACTAACCACCAAGGACCCAAGACATGGGTACCTAAAGCTACTACATCTTCATCTTCTTCTTTTATAGGGAACGTCACGACAACGACGTAAGGAGATGTGGTACCTTGATAGTGGTTGCTCACATCATATGACCGGCAACAAAGAGTTATTTGCAACCCTATCAAGGATTGAAGGAGGCAAAGTCTCCTTCGGTGGTGGTGAGAAAGGTAAAATCATTGGTATCGGGTCTATTGGTAAGAAACCCTCACCCATCATAGAAGATGTTTATTTAGTAAATGGTTTGAATCACAATCTTCTTAGTATTAGCCAATTAAGTGATAAAGGTTTTGATATTTCTTTTAAACCGGATAAATGCATCATTAGTATGGATGGAAAAATTATTTTTATTGCAAATCGCAAGTCTAATGTTTACATTTTTGAGATGAATGAGTTAGTGAATCAAGATGTAAAGTGTCTTGCGGCAATTGATGAAAATCCTTGGATTTGGCACAAGAGACTTGGACATGCAAATATGGAGCTAATCTCAAAATTATCTAAGAAGAATCTTGTGAAAGGGCTACCTAACTTGCACTTCATAAAAGATACAATTTGTGAGGATTGTGCCAAAGGTAAACAAACAAAATCTTCTTTCAAATCCATTCATGAGGTATCAACTTCTAAACTTTTGCAATTACTTCATCTTGACTTATTTGGTCCTATGCGTGTTACCTCTCTTGGAGGCAAACACTATGTTTTTGTGATTATTGATGATTTTTCTCGTTTTACATGGACAATATTTCTTGCTAAGAAAAATGATTGTTTTGAAGAATTTGCTAATCATGTTAAAAGAATTGAAAATGAAAAAGATTTGAAAGTTGTTAAAATAAGAAGTGATCATGGTGGTGAATTTCAAAATGAATTTTTCTATGATTTTTGTGCTCATCATGGTATAACTCATATGTTTTCCGCTCCTAGAACACCACAACAAAATGGTGTTGTTGAACGGAAAAATCGCACCATACAAGAGATGGCACGCACTATGCTTAATTCTTTTGATTTGCCAAAATATTTTTGGGCAGAAGCCGTCAATACGGCTTGCCATGTTTTAAATCGTGTTTTGATTAGACCAAAGCTTAAGAAAACCTCTTATGAACTTTATTATGGAAAAACTCCTTTCATTGGCTATTTTTGTGTCTTTGGTTGCAAATATTTTATTTTAGATATAAAAGATCACCATGATAAATTTGATTCCAAAATTGATGTTGGTATTTTCTTGGGTTATGCACCTCGAAGTAAGGCTTATAGGGTCTTCAATAAACGAAGCCTCGTTGTTGAAGAGTCTATAAACGTTACTTTTGATGAGACTAATGTTGACTCTTAAGTTGTTTTGCCTAGGAAGGATGATGATGATGATATTGAGGGAGGATTGGACTTGTTGCAAATCAATGACACTCCCTCTATAGAAGCTCAAAAGGATGTAGATTGCACAAATGCTCAAGATCAAGTTGAACAACCTAAAGCTTGGAAATTCACATCAAAATGATGATGATATTGAGGGAGGATTGGACTTGTTGCAAATCAATGACACTCCCTCTATAGAAGTTCAAAAGGATGTGGATAGCACAAACGCTCAAGATCAAGTTGAACCACCTAAAGCTTGGAAATTCACATCAAATCATCCAAAGGAACAAATCATTGGGAGCCCTTCAAAAGGAGTTATAACTCGCTCAAAAGCCTTGAGTGAATGTGGTAATGTTGCATTTCTATCTCAACTAGAACCTAAAAAGGTTAATGATGCTTTGAATGATGAATTTTGGGTTTTGGCTATGCATGAAGAATTAAACAATTTTCAAAGAAATGAAGTTTGGAAGTTAGTTCCTAGACCTAACAATGCTAGTGTTATTGGTACAAAATGGGTTTTTAGAAACAAACTTGATGAACATGGCATTGTAACTAGAAATAAAGCACGTTTGGTTGCCCAAGGATACAATCAAGAGGAGGGCATAGACTATGATGAAACCTTTGCACCGGTTGCAAGGTTGGAATCTATTAGGATGTTTTTGGCATTTGGTAGTTTTAAAAATTTCAAACTATTTCAAATGGATGTCAAAAGTGCTTTCTTAAATGGTTTTATAGAAGAGGAAGTGTATGTTGAGCAACCCCCCGGTTTTATAGATCATGCTTTTCCTAATCATGTTTACCGGGTACAAAAAGCTTTATATGGGTTGAAACAAGCTCCTAGGGCTTGGTATGCTCGCCTCTCTAGTTTTCTTGTTGAAAATGGTTTTTCAAAAGGATCTATTGATAACACACTTTTTGTGAGAAAAAGGAAAAATGATTTCATTTTGGTTCAAATATATGTGGATGACATTATTTTTGGTGCTACTAATGAATCCTTGTGCAAGGAATTTTCTAAAGTTATGCAGGATCACTTTGAGATGAGTATGATGGGAGAGCTTACATTCTTTCTCGGGCTCCAAGTCAAGCAAACTAAGGATGGGATCTTCATTTCACAAAGCAAGTATGCGAAGGAATTGGTGAAGAAATTCAAGTTGGAGAATTCTAAGCATGCGCCTACTCCCATGAGTACTAGTGTTAAGCTTGATGCGGATGAGAGTGGTGAAGATGTGGACCAAAAACTATACCGAGGTATGATAGGTAGTCTTCTTTATCTCACCGCTAGTAGACCCGACATCATGTTTAGTGTATGTGCATGTGCACGTTTTCAAGCTTCTCCAAAAGCATCTCATTTAATTGCGGTTAAAAGGATCATTAAGTATGTTAATGAAACTTTTAACCTTGCCAAGAAGCACTTCTTTTGATTTATATGGTTTTTGTGATGCCGACTTTGCCGGATGTAAGGTAGATCGCAAGAGTACTAGTGGAACATGCCAATTCTTAGGAAATTCCCTTGTTTCTTGGGCTTCCAAGAAACAAAATTGTGTTGCATTGTCCACTACGGAAGCGGAATACATTGCCGCCGGCTTATGTTGTGCTCAAGTTTTATGGATGAAACAAAGTTTAGTTGACTATGATTTGAATTTTCAAAATATTAAAATCTTTTGTGATAACACAAGTGCTATAAATATTTCCAAAAATTCGGTTTTGCATTCTAGAACTAAGCATATTGACGTGCGCCATCATTTCTTACGCGATCATGTAGAGAGACAAGATGTATCCCTAGTATTTGTTGACACCAAATCTCAACTAGCGGATATATTTACTAAGCCTCTTGGAGAGGATGATTTTTGTCGCATAAGAAATGGTTTGGGCTTATGCACTATGTGAAAGTTCTACATTGCTTGCTTGTTTAGTTGCATCTTGCATTTTGCATTTCTTTCCCCATTTTTGATGGTGACAAAGGGGGAGAGAAATCTCCTCATGTGAAAGTTCTACATAGCTATTTTATTTTTGCTCTTATATAATGGTTGGTTGTCATCATCAAAAAGGGGGAGATTGTTAGCCCTTATGTTTTGATGATGTTTTTACAACCACCATTATCGGTACTAATAGCTTATTAAGTGAAAATATAGTAAATTCATTTATCAAGCTCATTAGTGCCATTAATGGAGGATGGATGGAATATATGCTACAACGAAGATATCCAAAGGAGGAGGAGGCCAAGAGATGAAGCAACGTTATTTCAAGAACGACAAATTCGATCAAAAGCTTCATCCGATTCAAGCTATATCAAAGCTCAAGTATATTGCTCTCTATATGAGGATATTAGCTTTCTTTTGTTTTTTCTCTCTAGTGCTAGAATGTAGGCAAAGAGTTACTGAGTTTACTTGAAGCTATTGGGAATCACACACACGTTTTTTTTCATACTTATGTTTTTAAGCGTTTTTCACAAAATACTATTTTTCACAAGTATGAGTACCTATCTGCAAAATTCTTTTTCCAAGCAGTTTGTTTTTAGTATTAAAAACATTTTACAAAGTTTCAGAATTTTCAGAGGTCAAATAAATATTTTGCAAATATTTCAAGTTGGTCAAAAATCAGATTTCAGAAAATATCAGAAATCGGTCGACCGGTCCGGTCGACCGATCTGATGACCTTTCTTCAATATGTTTCCAGAGTGTCGTCGGTCGACCGATACGGTCAACCGAATTTTCAATCTTTAATCGGTCGACCGTGCCGGTCGACCGATGAGTCTCTGCGTGGTTTATCAAATTTCCTTAGCTGCTCGCGGTCAACCGAATTTTTCGGTCGGTCGACCGAAGACATTTTTCGGTCGACCGAAATTTCCTTCGGTCAACCGATTTTTGCCTCTGGTCAGCCGCGACTTTTTTAAACGGTCATTTACATCGTTTACTGTGCTTTCACTTGTTAGTGTTTGGCACAGTCTGTGATGAGGGTCTGAAGAAGAGATTATTATCTCATTTGGGAAGATTTGTTTTTGTTTTAAAATGATGTAAACTTTTCTATATAAACCCCCCGGACCTCTTCTTCTTCCTAGCCCCAACGTTTGAAAAACCAGAGAGCTTTTTCTGTTTCCTGAGTAAATTTTTAAAACTCTGTTTTTCTCTCTGTTTCAAGTGTGATTCACCTCCCAGCTTCAGTATACCTTCTCTTTGCTATAAGGGCTGTGTAAAGAGAGGTTCTTGCATTTCTTTCTTCTGCTGTGTGAGTGAGATCTGTGGAGATCTACTGTGAGGGAGTGTGATCTGTGAGATCAAACTGTGTAGTGAGAGAGATCTGTGGAGATCGCTGTGTAGACGAAGTTCCGGCTTCCAAACCGGGTGTGTAGTGGATTTCTCCTCGAGAGTGGGGAGCGGGGACGTAGGCCAGAGGGCCGAACCTCGTTAACACATCGCGCGTCAAGGATAACGAACTCCTAACCCTATATCTCTTACTTTTATCGCATTTTTGTTTTGTGGTTTGCTTGTGCTGTTTTTTAATTGCATATTAGAGCCTCTTGACCCTAATCACCCCCCCTCTAGGGTCTAACAGCCCTACCTCTACCGTAACGGTTTTGAACTCTATTGCGACGGTTTTTTGAACCGTTGCCCCTGCATCTAACGCAACGGTTTTAAAAGGTAAGCGGTTTTTAAGCCATTGCAACGGTTTTGATTGAGCTATTACGACGGTTTTTAAGCTATTGCAGCGGTTTTGATTGAGCTATTGCGACGGTTTTCAAGCTACTGTAGCGGTTTTTTTAGATATTACAACGGTTTTAAAAGACCTAACGCAACGGTTTTAGTAGGCTAAAGCTATGGTTTTGATAGAGCTACGGCAACAGTTGGAGCTATTGCAACAGTTTTAAAAGACCTAACGCAGCGGTTTTAGTAGGCTATAAGTATGGTTTTGATAAAACTACGACGACACTTGGAGCTATTGCAACAGTTTTAAAAGACCTAACGCAACAGTTTGGATCGAGCTATCGCAGCGGTTTGGATCGAGCTATCGCAACGGTTTTGATCGAGCTATCGTAACGGTTTTAATCGAGCTATTGCAACTGCTCAATCGAAGCTGTTCTTGGTTTCCTACGTCAAAATAATTATAGTATTCAATTACCTGGACAATCTTTTTAAGAACATGGCCAAGTCAAATTTTAATACGCAATATAAAAGTGATTATGTTGAGCATAATCAACCATAATGATAAGTGCCAACATACATCAGTATAGTATAAAAACTACAAAGTATTAAATCCACACTACCAACATTTCAACTCAGAAAATATCGTACCGAACTAACATTCAAACAATGTACATCAACATTTGATTACAAAACATGAAACTTCTGAAATTGGAAGGTGATATGTTGGCCTGCCAGATGATTAAAAGTCTCCCTCCTGACATTGGACACAAAAGTAAGTATAAATAAGTACTATAGAGAAGAGCAAGTGCATGACATGGGAACATTTCTGAAAAATAAATACCTGGTGATATCATAGACTAATAGTGCGCCTGCAGCTCCTCTGTAATAGGATCTTGTAATGGATCTGAAGGATTCTTGGCCTGCCTATAATGATAGAAACTTCAAGTCAGATGCATATAATAGTTACGAACATATAATAGCTAGAGATAAACCAATGATAGAAGCAGAGAAACATTTACATGTATATACCGAATCAGACCCTGTCGTTATGTGCACTCAACATATGTGCCGGATACGAGTACATTGGCACTTGAAAACTAACTATAAAGAGTATTGGAGGGTTAAAGTGACAATCACCAACTTCAACTTAGTTCAGAACTATAGTGATTGGAATTTGGTGATACAACATCCAAACCTGAAGAGCTTAGCGCAGGTTTTCATCTTTAACTACAAGCCTCTGATCGAGTATGGCAATATCAGTGAGTGCTCATTTTTTCTCATGCTTTTAAGTTCCAAGCACTAAGATCGTTATTTTTTTCTGGCTGAGTTGTTCATTGCTAAAATGTATTGAAAGAAAAGAATCGATAGATATTTGGTGTTACCTTAGACATTTAGAAAAGTCTGTCCCAATTTCACTTCACATGTAAATTAATTTTGATTTTTCTTTGGATTAAATGAGTCATGTAGACTTCAGAGAATATGACAGCTTTCTCTTAAAGACTACAATACAATACATTTTTTATGACATACTCTATAAATTAAAAAATAGGATGCTTAGAAGAAAATGAACATTGTGCTAATCAAAATAACTGTCGACATTTAATAGTTCAAACTCTAAAACTCATCTAATTGCTTATTCTTTTTGAACTTCATGCGTAATTGACAAGCCTTTTGTACACGTGCGCACATTTGTTTTTTGTTGCAGTGCATTTCATGTACAGGACATGTCTAATGATAATTCATCTAATATGACATTCATCAAGTCATGGCTGATATTTGCATTATTGTTTCGATACTGTAAAATCAAATTACGAAACCGTCTTGCTAGCATTATTGTTTCGATACTGTAAAATCAAATTACGAAACCGTCTTGCTACATGTCCGAAGTTGTAATCAATAAGAATAAATTTTAATAGCCATTTCTTTCTTTGTATATTGGGATGGTTATCAGAGATGAAATAGGACCAAGCAGGTTCTAGGATCACATTTTTCTGATGAGATATAATAAAGACTATAGTTGATATATATGACTGTGTATAATGATACTTATCAAGCTATATATGTTTAGCCTGATTTAAGCACTAGGTACTACTTGGCTTACATTATTTATATAGAAATATTCAGAACAACGAACATGCTAAAGGAGAAAAAGATTACCCTAGCATTTTGAGAATGCCAAATCTTTAGTAAAGCCCTAAATGACGATGATGATCGCCCGTCCCCGAAGACGCACACGTCCAGGATGTTCTTTTTTATTGACAAGATGCCATGCATCTACATTTTCTCCTTCAGTTTGTTCCTGAGTTAGTTGTTCCAATGTACCAATCATGTCAAGTGTTTTTTCTGGTTGCGCTTTTTTCTTCTTTTTACGAGTCTCTATAAACACTCTACATCTGTTGGAGGCCGGTTCAATTCCTTTTCCTACAACAAAACAACACATCAATCATTTAGCCATTCATTGCATGTCTAAATCATTTAGCTATTATTAATACATAATTACACTGTAAATCATAGATAAACAACATGATTACCATATCTCTGCGAATTCTTGCGAAACTTTTTGAACCCGCTGTGTGCAAGAGCGTTTGACTGTTTCGACTTTCCTTATTCTTTTCACTTGCTTTCTACATAATCAAAGAACTTCTAATAAGTATTCTTTAATCAAAATAAGCTAAAGCCAACCTCGTAGTGCTAATGATGTAAAGAAAAACAGGATATATTAGAAATAAAGACTGAAAATTCTGCAGCAAACAATCTGAAACAACAGCCCAAGTATGATTAAGAAACCATTCAAAGCCTAACTGTAACATTTAGGGCTTGTAAAAAGAATCATCTCAAAATTAAACAAAGAAGTAAGACTCATAAAATGAAATCTTTATGGGATTTCCCTCAAGATAAAACAGTTAAACAGGACCCTCTTATTGTGAACATTTTAGCCGTTCATTGCAGAACTAGAAAAAAATCCACAGAATATCAAGAAATATTTATTGAAACAAATCGAATCGCATCAAGGAAAGAAAACTCATACCTCATATTGGCTCCGACTGAGACTGAAAGCAACCCAAGGTTCATTAACAATTATTGGAGAACCAGGGGAAGTTGGACCATCAATAAAAGTATTATTATTATTATTGTACTGACCCCTTATGGATGAATCGAATGATCCGGTAATTGGTGCATCTCTGAACATATCTGAAATGGGGTAACTGGCACATGTAATTTGAACGTATATGCTCATGACCTACAAAATAATAATTCATTAAATTGCTTCAGATCTTATATATGAAGAATTATCTATTTGTCCACTTAGCAGATGTAAAGTTTATCATGATTTTGTTGCCAACAAATTAAAGCAACATATTAAATTATCAGGATATTATATTATGTAAAGTTTATCATGATTTTGTCCACTTAGCAGGTTGTACCACTGTCCTAATGTCGATTTTATGGAATCCAAGACCCAAAAAGACAGCACCTTAAGGTTAAGAGCCTCAAGTATGATTAAGAAACCTAGTGAGGGAGGTCTACCCTTAGATTCAATTTTTTTTTTTACAAGAAAGTGTCGAGCGTATATAAGATCACATGAGTTTGTCTTTATTAACCAGGATATTATATTATGTGCACTTGATGTATTTGAACTATACGTATATTTGGATAATTCAGAAGGTCTGTTGGATATTTTTACCATACTGTAACTATATTCATATTTTAGATGAATATCGGATATCAACATGTACATTCAATTCAACAAATCTGACATGAAGCATATTATCCATTTGAACCCTTAATTGCAACCATGCATGGAAGTACATGGACATGTAACATGGTGAGATGGTGGCCCATTACCTCTTTCTGCTTTGGGCAATTCAGAACCAAACCAACGAATGTATTTGCTATTGGTCATGAATCTATCTTTAAAAATAGTACACCTAACTATATGTATATTCACATCTTTACCCATTAAATTATAAACAAGAATAATATTCTCAAGAAAACAATAGTACATATTTACCTAAAATTTGATATTTCAGAGGCTTTTTATTTAATTTTGTTTATGCATTATCAGGGAAAATGCTACATGTTCCTTCATTTAATCAGATCCCATTTATGCTACTGAAGCCTATCCAATGTCAATTATGCATGCTATCCAAACAGCGAGGAAGCTTGGATTTGCACTAAGAGAGAAATATAAGCAAGTTGAAAGGAAAAATCAATGCAATTATGCGACCAAATGATAGAAATATGCCTCAGATATCATTTAAAAAACAGATAAGTTTCATGTACAGTTCCAGCTACCAAACACATTATTTTCACTACTTACCAGATTTATGAGTTATTGTATGCAAAAAATTGCATTACAAATAGCAGTTGCAATAGCACAAAATAGTTGCAAGTACTCTAACTGTAACATTTTTACAATTGTGATTGCAGAAAGAAGTCATTTTTCCAAATAAAAAATCCAACTAGATTAATTGCAAGCTATTTTTGGAGAAACAAAATGTCTTACTTCTAACTCTTGTTGTGAAAATATTGTAATCACATTAATAGATAGCTGCAGCTGGAAATAGAACTGTCTATTGCAAAAGGCAGTTTCAATTGCAATTTTTTATGAACCACAGAGCTCAGTATTGAGATCTTAAATGCAAAGCATAACATCCTAGAGCTTCAAAGATAAATTTCGAGGACAACAATAATATCATGAAAATGACCTAGAAACAACACTTAAGACATAGATGCATTTGCTTATCAAAAAAAGTTTAATTGTAGAACTTTGAGACCAACAATGCAAAATCAAATATAGTACCAAACAAAGTTTCCATCAGTTCAGTGGTTGTAGGTCTGAACAGCAAAATACACGGGGGTGTGAGATCAAGTTTCAGTTTAAGGTTATATATCATGACTTTCTCATTTTATCAAACTAGGTCTACACTGTTGACCCAAATTTGTTTCGACTAAAATCGGTTTAATTAATTAGTTTACCAAACATACCCTTAGTCCAGCATTAAAGTTTCATAATGGATATTTTGCTCTTTAGTCGATGTGGCTTTGTCACAGGCGCATATGATGGCGTGCAGTTGTCATCAAGCTAACAATCTTTTGATAGTGTTTGGCAACCATAAGGTCCATAACCAAGTTAAGCGGAACAATAATAACCCTTCTCCAAGTAAACAATATATCCTTCTTTTATATGTTGTTTCTGATAGCCACACAAGGGGGCAGTAAATGAAGAAACTGCATCCCCCCCCCACACACACACACAAATTAAATTCATCTATAACATGAAAAAGTAATTGAAGCATGTCCACAATTTGCCCAAATTTCCCGCAGAAAATCAAAAAAATTTAAAGATCAATAAAACAGTGATCCAACAGTTACTTAAATCAAGATATAAGCAAATCCCCTCAATTTAATTAACCCACTTGCCTAACGTAGTAGCTAATCACAACCAACATTCTGTCATTACCCAATAGAAAACAAATAAATCCATTTTTTTGAGAAGAAATAGCTTTTAGGTTAAGGAATCTTACCTCTAGGGATCGACCTAGAGCAATGGATCGTGATTAATGCAGCAATCGATGTTATCCGCAGCACCTAAGAAAAATGAAGAAGAGATTTTTAAAGATAGAAAGGGGGAAGAAATTGTAGAGATCAGAAATGCAAGGAACTGAGGTACCTTGACGACGAGAACCCAACGAATCCCATAACAACGAATCCGATCGTGGTCCGAAACGCCACTTTCGTGAACTCTGCGAGATCGAAACCAATCAAAATCAAAATTGTGTGTAATTTGGATGGATCTAGTGATGATGATGACGATGATCGAGCTTACCCTTGCGATCTGGCTTGTGGCATCTCTTGACGAGGCGAACGCTGTCCTTCGTGAAATCGCGGAGGGGATCGACGACGGATTCAATCGCGTCCATGGCGACAAGGGGAGGATCGGAGACTGAAACCCTAGATTCGAGAGAGAGAGAGAGGAAGTGAAGGAAATTTGAGGCGGCGGACCTGAAGAAGCCTCAAAGAGCGAGAAGGATTTTGTTTAAGCGGTCAATGGGCTTTACAAACTAAACTTAACTGTTATTAAGCCCATGAACAATTATTAAGTCTATGGCAACGGTTTTCCATTAAATGTTGTATTAGACACTGAAAATCATTACGATAGATATCTAACACAACAGTTAAAACCGTTGCGCCTTAACCGCTGCAACAGATCAATTATGTGGTAGTGTACCAACAAAAGAGATTACAGATTAGATATGTGGAATCCAACATCAGCATATTATAGAAAGAATCAATATCCCCACACACACGCACACAAAAAACAAAAACAAAAAACACAAAAAAAAAAGAAAACAGGCGGACCCAGTACGAACACCAAAAACAAACAGCTACACAATGTACTAAATTATATGTGCATAAAGAGTGTACTATCTAAATATACGAAATTCAGGAAAACATTGATGTAGGGATGATCGCAGGGGAATGTACAAGTGCTCATCAACTGCATTCTCACACCCATGCACCACCTCCCCGTCATGTCGACAAGTACTCCACATCGCACATGAATACATTTTGATGCTTCATTAAAATTCAAGGGTGTTAATTTCCTACACTCGTAGATCCCTCAACATGACTGCTCAAAATATTATCGTGACCGCTGCATTTTCCGATAATATAGTTATCGGTCCCCTTAATATCTTTCAAATGCATTTTGTTTCCCACACTCTGGTTTGTGTTTGGACTGAATGAAAGAAATAAGGCTACAACCATTTTCTCCTGAGGGAAAAAAATCAGGGACTATATGAAAATATTAAAGATTTAAAAGACCTGTCAGTGTATAGAAACAAACAAACCGAACTTGAGGAGTAGGTTCAATATTTTGAAAAGCTAGACAAACTTGCCAGTAAACCTTGAACTGAATGAAAAATGTACTAAATTATATGTGCATAAAGAGTGTACTATCTAAATATACGAAATTCAGGAAAACATTAATGTAGGGATGATCGCAGGGGAATGCGACATGTAAATTCAACCAGAACATCCAGTTGATTCAATTTGTGAGCATGCACTCATGGCTCAAAAGGAACTGATGAATATTATCTTAATACACACACAGTTTCTGCGTAACAAGCTTGTTGTCCACCAAAATTCAAAGATCACAAAAAAGGAGCTAGAAAATATAAAAATAAGCAGAAATTGTATGCTAGTTCACCAAGTTCTTTTCACATTATTTATGTTTATAAGATGGATTCATCGTAACTCTTGCTAATCTTGTTCATTTGCCTTTGCACAAAGGAACAAATACTGTTTGATGAAATATTGTGAAATTGTTGTTATTCAAGGTAACTATTAGCGGTCTCTTTACATGAATTAACTCTTAACTAAGAAATGAGTATAATGCAACACGAATGTGGTATACACAATTGAAAATAGCTATATTTCCTATCAAAATGTATAAAACCAGAATTCAGCATGTCTTAAACCCAGTACGAACACCAAAAACAAAACAGCTACACAATGAAAAAAAAGCAAAGAGAACAACAATCTATAACTTCTAAAAAATTTGAGCTCCTAATTAGAACGGAAAAACACAAAATGTATAAAACCAGAATTCAGCATGTCTTAAACCCAGTACGAGCACTTTTATTACATAATGCAGTTTGCTCGACAGAACTTAAAAGGAGAATAGCTCAATTAGAATCACTGATATATTATTACTGTAGCAAAATGAGAATGAAACCACGTTAGAGGCTGAAAAACACAAAGGAGAGCGAGAAGAAAGCAACGAGGAAAAAGAAGTAACTGAAATGAGTTAAGAAAACACTACAGAAACCAGTTCAAGAGCAAAGAAGGCTAAGAAATGTCGAAGTGTAAAAGGTACTTGCCTCTTCATGATCTAGAACACTAGCAGCCTCTTCAGGAAGTTTAGTACGCGCTTTAAACCTGTCAACAAAGCTTGGACTAACTGGACGTCCAGTTACTTCACTCAACATATCTGAAAATGTTTGAATCATACTAGTAGCTTGAGCTTCTTGTTGTTTCTTCATCTCCTCTTGTTGAGTGGCCACCACCTTTTTTGTTATTGCTTGAACAATTGACTCAGGGACTTGATCACATGGATCAATGGTTTTCTCCTTATTGCTTTGTAGCATGCTTTGAGTGATCGCCCGTCCCCGGAGACGCACACGTCCAGGATGTTCTTTTTTATTGACAAGATGTCATGCATCTATATTTTCTCCTTCAGTTTGTTCCTGAGTTAACTCCTGAGTTAGTTGTTCTAATGTATCAATCATTTCTAGTGTTTTTTCTGATTGTTCTTTTTTCTTTTTTTTTATGAGTCTCTAGAAACACTTCTGCATCTATTGGAGGCTGGTTCAATTCCTTTTCCTACAACGAAACAACGTATCAATCATTTAGCCATTCATTGCATGTGTAAACCATTTAGCTATTAGTAATACAAAAGTACACTGTAAATCATAGATAAACATCAAAGTTACCATATCTCTGTGAATTCTTGCGAAGCTTTTTGAACCTGTTGTGTGCAAGAGCGTTTGACTGTTTCGACTTTCCTTATTCTTTTCACTTGCTTTTTACATAATCATAGAACTTCTAATAAGTAAATTGTAATAACTAAATTGCAACAAGAGAAACTATAGTACTTAGTTAATACAGTTAAGATTAACACAAGCAACACTAAACATATAATATAAAAGAATACTTCTGAATCGGCAATTTGCAGCAAGGTAGACCTATGCAACTAAAGTGCAGCCCAGCAAACATCCACGAGATATTGAATTGAATGGTTATCCTGGTCTGGTGAGTCCACTACTAACATGTAATATAACTATCTGTAGTCTTTATGATGTACGGGACTCACATCTGGAAACAAATCGATGAACAATAATTTTCAATCTTGTGTTAAGCCTGTACCTATGCATCTAGATGGTCGCATCTTTCTGGGTGCTAAGCCTGTAGTTTCTTGGCAGAATTTGCTTCAGGCTTTTTCTGTAAGTTGCAAGACTATTTTTATTTTTATTTTCCTAATTACAATATGTAAATAGAATAACAGAAATATAGATCAGATGGTATTATTTACTCTTGCAGTTCGCTTTTCATCCAACAGCCTAATAAGAGTCTTTTGAGACCAAACTTAAACAATAATCATTTCTACAAAAGCAATTTCATGGAAAAAAAATCCTATTATACAAGGACATATAAATTTCCATAGGCTATGGCCAATTTCATATATCTCATTAACGCAGAGAATAGTTTCACTTGCACACACATTAAAAATGAGATTGAGCTCTCAAACTTTTAGTGGATTCAATAATTAGTACATTCAGCAATCACTGTCTGGATTCAAACTGAGTTTGTTAAACATGGATAACGAGTTCTAACATCCAGACAATACTCATATTTTCTAACATCCAGACAATACTCATGTTTTCCGCCATTTATTATATCTTCTGGGGAAAGAAAAAATTAATTAACACTATTAATAACTACATATAAATATTTTGATTTATAAAATAAAAAAACAATCCTCTTGTTACTATTAATAGCAATATATTCAATCAACATTATTGTGATTAACACTATTAACAGTTACATTGCAAGTCATATATGCTACAACCGTACTATTCTGAAGATTATAAAAAAATACAAGTGAGAAGTCCAAACTGAGGACTTTATATTAAAAGGTGGCATGCAATTGATACTTCATTGTTGTGAATATCCTACAAAATAATAATATAATAACTACTAAAGACATAAGTGCATTCAACACTTCAACAGTTAGAAGCATAGTCATGGTACATTGCTATAAGAATAATATCATAACACTTTTAAGAAACAAGTTAAGTTACCTTCTTACCAAATAATGATGTAATCAACGAGATTAAACGCTCTTCTAACTCTTCTTGGTAGCTCTCTTTCTTATTTTTCTTTCTCATTGGAATCTAAACATCATATAAGTCACATTAGTAGTGAAAGTAAATTTAGGCATGAACTCTACTCTGAAACTTCTTGTCGAGTTTAACTCATCGCTTCTATTCTGACCTTTAATTATTGTTATTATTATTAAACAACTTGGAAAACTAAAACAGGGACAAGAGAAAGAGCCCTGCCCCGAGTTATGCTCCATATTATCCAATTGGAGTTGATCTGTTTGTGTGCCCACGAAAAGTCCATCACATAGCTCAGCATATCGAGCTTCCTCGTGTCAAGCCACATGATAAAGTTCCATCACTTTTGATTGTTAACATCCAGGTACTTGAGACAATATGTATTAAAGTTTCCTCAGTTGCTAGAAATTATAGAAATTTATGGCTGTTTATTGTTTTCGATACAGATACCTACATATCCTACTGCAATGTTTCTGGGTGATGATGATGGGGAGGGGATGAGTCTTGTACTGTATTTCAAAGTTTCTGAATCTTATGATAAGAAAATTTCTGCAACTTTCCAGGAATGCATTAGGGTAAGTTTCAGCAAAGACTTCAAGTTCTATAGTAACAAAAATTAACAATGTTTATCTTCTACCTAATATCAAAACATAGCATGTCAAAGTTCTTACTCCCTTGCAGCCTTAAACATAATATGCATAATAATTGGCTCAGTTAGCTATTACTACTGTTTATAAATGTCTCAAGTAGATTGTAATTTTCCATGAATATCACAAACAAGAAAGTAAATAAGAGTAGATTTACAGAAATTGAAAAAATAAGGCACAACTTTTCCTTCAAAAGTAAATAAGAAACAACCACCTAGATTTTTTCTACAATCCAAAATAACAAGAAAACAAAAATCTTTAAAATGAGACTAAAAAGGAAAATTGAATTAACGATTAGAAAACATATGCATGGAAAATCCATAAAAATTAACCTTCTCCTTTAAACTAACCATAAACAGTTCAACAACTAAACAATTTCCCTAATAGAAAGGGGAAGAAACTGTAGAAATCAGAAATAAAAGGAACTGAGGTACCTGAGAGTCCAAAGGAGAGTGAGATCGGAGACGGATTAGCTGCGAGC